TTTTTCACCTGGGCCGGCCAAGACTTCATGAACAGGTAACCGTAACCAGTCGCGATGATTTCTTGCGCATTGGTATTTTCAAGTTGTTTCACACCATCCTCTTGAACCACACCGGGGTCATGCCCCATGTCTGCGAGGTTGGCGCTCTCAGTGCGGGGTGGCGGCTCCATGCAGCTGGCGAAGGAGGACCCCAATGGCGCCAGGCACGAATTCGCAGTCCGGCGACGTTTGGTCGAACGCGCGGCAGACGTGACAGGGGATGGCGCAGACGGAAAGAGGATGGAAAGGACACGTAGGAAAGTTAGAAGCACCTGCAAGTTACAGAAGGTAGGTAGTGCCATGGCCATGGTGGCAATAGATCAATAATTTATTAGCCGTTAGTTCTCCCTGTACCTTTTTACCGAGCCCCAGCACAGATTCACCAACAGGTTCTCAGAGGGTGCCTTGCAAGCTGCTTAGTTTGCTATGGCACTGGCACGAAGCAAGCTAGAAGTTTGTAGTTGTTCATTCTTCAAATATTGAATAGTTTGGTTGTTGAAATTCTTCCCCTTAGGAGGCCTAGGATCCTTCGTACTGTCATTGCATGACAAGAAGCATTGCCGATTAATGGACGCCCTGTGCAGCTGCCAGGACCAAGGTGGAGTCCTTAGTAGCCTGGGCCGTGTCAATGCCTGACTTTTTGAGGTTCTGAAGTTGTTTATTTGCAGATGATGTGCAGGTTGGAGCGGGATTGCACAATCACCCCATTTGAGGAGGCTCCATCTAGTCTAGATCTGGTCTAGGGGGAAGAGAACTGGATTCTTCCGTCCTTTTTGGGGAAGGACTAGAGCATGGCTGCGTGTTTTGGTCACCTCTTGCAAGCCTGTGTTCGCCAAGATCAGGCCACAACCTCACATGTCTTGTGAAACCCAGTGTCATCTTCCGGGGCAGTTGCGGGCTTCCGATTGCATGTCTCCTCAACACCACCCGCTTGGATGCGCCCCCCTGAGCCCCTACATCCACCCCACCACTTAGACTGCAGCTCTCGGCTCCGTCAGCGGAGTGGAAACGAGCGATGGAAACGAGAAGTCAAATCTACAATGTTTCCGGCACCGCCCCGAAAGTCCCACAGATCCCAGACCTTTGATTCTTCAAGTTGCTTCCATGAGTAATGACTTGACCCAGGTTAGCCCTCAAGCGTCCATGGCCACCAGGCTGAGAGAATTTCCACAGTCGACAGTAGGGGTTCAACACCAAATGGCCATAGGCCATAGCAAGAGTTTGAACGGGGGCCCATTTCCACTCACTGCGGACATAAACACATCCCTTTAAATTAAGGCGCGTTTATAACGTTTCCCACACTTGGTGAATCACCGGTTTCGAAGCCTGGATTGGGAAGAGCCCTGTAGCTCGAGGACTGAGGATGTTCCTAACTTTTCATGGTGTAGGGAGCGCAGGTGATACAAGGTGTTGGTTTAGTTTGGAAGCAACTGTGTGAATCCGCCAAGCCACCGGCCACCTCTATGTTCTACCACGTTCTCCCTGGCCCGGGTCATTCTGGGGCCAAGTGCTATCATTCACAAGCATAACATTCCCGAGCACTTCATCAAGGCTACTGACATCTACTGACTATATAGTTCTGAGGTCTCTTTTTCCTTGAGCAAAGACCTGCGTGGATGATCTCCAGCCAAATCGACCGATGTCCAGCGCTTTGCTTCAATGAGTGGCTACAACACCGTCCAGGACGGGGAAAATTCATTGCTTCATGCTGCGGTGCTGTCTGGGGATGAGACCTTGGCTTCTTGGGCTGGAGTTGGGTTTGCTTCTGGGGCCTTGAAGGGTTGACATCCTACGCCCCGCCTTTGGCGGATGTTGTTGAGCATCCTGGATTGAACATAGGAACTTGAGAGAGGAGGGGGTGAACGAAAGGTAGCAGGCAATCACAAGTAACCCTGGTAGAAGTCCATGACGGCGTGAACCGGCGCAGGGGGGATTTGATCCAGGGGGGGGGGGACCCCCCACCCCCCGACGAACAGAATCAACTCTTACAGGACCAAACTCAATGCACAATCCCAACTCCTGATTGTAATACATTTTTGCTAAAGCAAGGAGAACTCAGGTAGCTCAAGCTACCTTTCGTGATCAGGGAGATCAGAAGGTTATCAAAAATAAATTTCCACTTTATGGTTGCAAGCCTACTTGCAGGCACCCCGTTTGTCGAAGATCGAAGTTTATCTTGAGGAATCCAGGCACAAGATTGCACAAGCCCTTGAGAAAGTCCTTGAGAAATCATGTGCAACAACAGTCCAATGAATTAAATCATCAACCACTTGCGTACATAGGTGATACAATATAATACGCATTTCATGACAATGACATTGACCCTGATTAACTGTTTAACTATAGAGTATAAACACGCTGGGGGAAGAACCTCTCCCACAGCCTGTAGGCCGGTGTCATGCCACACCCAGGTCCAACGGCTCATCACACAACGCGCGGAGCTGAACAAGGACCGATTGGGGTTGGGGTTTCCTGATTTGTTATAATATAGCCCTAGGGATCCAAGTACCTTCTCAGAAGGTACTTGGACCCTCCAAACCTACATAACAGTGTCTCCAATCACCTAACCTGAGAAGGTACTTGGATCCCTAGGGTAGGAGCTTGGAACATCTTGGAGTCCCTTCTCGTGTGCTCCCTAGTCTACAGTGAGCATACAGTCTGATGTGAATTGCACAAGTCAGACGTGAGTCCGCAGTCCGCTTTTGATTGTGGGTGGGCTTCCTGTAAACGATGTCCATGTCCAATTGAAGCGACGTCAGAAGCCGAAGCAAAGGGTGCACCGTTTTCATTGTGCAACTCCTAGAGCCTTCGACCATATTTCATGCAACGCCCCTGAGGAGTTCATGGAGTGTTGATGAGTGTTGTATATCCCATTCCGGCCCCACGAGAAGGAGCAAAAGCAACTGTCTCTCTCTCTCTCTCTCTTTTTCTCTCCTTTGGTCGTCTCTCTCTCTCTCTCTCTCTCTCTCTCTAGATGTAAAATGCATCACCGGCCCCTGAGCACCACTGACACAGATAGGATACTTGAAGGATAGATAGGACACAGCATTGGACATTTGTTTGTTTGGAAGGCACGTGATGGAAAACGGCCCGGCCCCATGCCGCTTCCGTCATCCTCAGGAGGAGGACGATTCCACTCCTTTGTTCAAAGCTGTTGGCCTGGATGACCCTGCCATCGCCATCGCCCTTCTTTCAGCTCGGGCACCTCGGAACCGTTAAATATCTTTCGGAAGCCGGTGCGGAATGACTTGAGTGAATGACTTACCCCACCCAGCCCAGGTAGTCCAAGTGACTTACCCCAGCCAGCCCAGGTAGTCCAAGTATGTCCAAGGCCAAGTAAGGCCAGCCCTTGATCATCAGTCCACTATATACAGTGGTTCGCTATGATTCGCCGCGAGACCTATCAAAATAGACTCTGACTACACTGCAATCCTTCATCCCTCGCCCACTGTGGCGAATGAACAGCCGCACCTCGAAGAGAGTCACCTCGAAGTCATTCAAACTAGGAACAAGGACGCTAGCTACTAGGAGCAAGAAGTCATTCACACTCACTTCATGGCGTTTGTGACTGAAAGCACGAGGCAAAGCCCATGCGAGCATGTTTGGGGTGAAAAGACGCAACATTATGGCAACATTCATTAATTGGAACCACCATTCCGGTTTTGCAGCCTCCAAATGCAGCCACTTTTTTCTGATGCATTTTGAGGCTGATGTGAACTGGCGTGGTTCGGAGTTTAGCTTCACGGCACTGCACCAGGCTGGAGTTATATGGAACATTATAATATTAGATTTGATTTTAGAGGTATCAGAGGTCTAGCTTTCAGGCATGACGACCAACAACAAATTCATTGGGTTGATGTAACCGGCAGCAGGCTTCGGGGTGGCATGGGGTGGGGTGACTATTTGCCCAACACATCCCGGTTCGATGTTCTCAGAGCGACACACACACGCACACCACGTACAGGTGCGCTTGGACAGGCACTTGGTTCTGACTTTCGGGTGACGTCGGTGGCTGTGTAGTTTGATCTCTCTCACCCTTTGTCGGAGCCTCTGGTTTGTTTTCCATGGTGCCACAGGCTGTGTGCGTGAACAACCAGAAAATGATCGAGGCCGCTGCACTCCGGCACTCTGGGGTTTGGCAAGGCTGGCAAGGATCCCCTCGACAAACAGTAGCTGGCCAGTGGAACTTGGAAGTGAGCGTTTCGATAGTCAGTAGATTCCTGTTCATGGCGAAGACCAGAACGCATGTCACTCCTGCGACGCAGTTGAGTCTTTGTCCCTTTGCTGCGACATTCTGGATGGAAGTTGATTTGCTGGACCCATCAGACCCCCCCTCTCTTGAGACTCAGTTTGCGGCTGTCCTGGTCCTGGTCAACTCTTTTCCGGCACATCACTCGCACTGTCACCCCGCACAACCAGTGGAATTCCGACGTTGCAGCCAGTGCAGCCAGGAATTGCTGCACCAATGGCGCTAGCCTTTTCCCATGTTTTCCATCCTTTTTTTCTCAGCGCAGGTCAAGGTCTTTTTTAAAGATGGACCCATCAGTCCCTAGTCCCTTGGGCCCGTCCTACCCCAGGCGCTGGTGCGGGCCGGCGCAGACGTGGAGCTGGTGGATGAGGGCGGTTCGACGGCTTTGAGCCTGGCGCAATCGATGCAGAAGAGGCGGATCCGGTCGAGGTTGAGGCTCTAAGACCTAAAAGCATGGTAAACCCAGCCAATGTGGAAGGGATTTCTGTGATTAATGGTCATTCCAGAGTGAAGGGACGTGCCAGGGTGTGCCTTCTTTCCTTGGGCTTGTATATGAGCTCTTTGGAATCGAAAATAAGAACCTCCGCGTTTGCAAACCCACACTAATTTGGTTAAGGGGTGTCCAGCGTGATCATTCGCCACCCATGGGTTGGGGTGCTGGTGCACATCGAAATTCTTTCTTGGAGAGGGGCCAATGTTGAAAAATGCAAGTATTCCAAAGACCGTGACTCAGCGTGACAGCCATGCCCTTGGGCAATCTATGAGACCATGTGGGGCTAGATTTTCTCGACCTACAGACAGACCTTTGAAACTACCACTGGGTGTGTGACTTTTCCATGCATTGCTTTTTTGAGCCTTTGAAGGCCTCCAAATTGTCAATATCAGTTATTAAAGGGTGTGTCCCATGACCAGTAACCGTCGGTAAACGGTTACCACTATTTTGGGGAACTGTTTTTTACATGTCTTTTTTGTATGTCTATATATTCCACGTCTTCACTCACCAATAAGCGGATTTCATCCATGGTCACTCATGGAACATACATGGACATACCCAAGATCCATCCAGGTCCCTACGTATCGTTCATTTCTTCCCCGTTTTCTCTTCCGTAGCTCGGTCCGAACACGCCCAGGTTGGAAGCAGAGATGGAAGAAGCAGAACTCTCCGCGCACGTGTGCACTCGAGAGCTGGAACGACAGGACCGCGCTCCGAGGAGTTCACTCTCGTGAAGTCATGTGGAGTGAACACTTGTTTTTGTCCACGATAACTCCACGATCACGATGATTCCAGGGAGTCTCACCTTGTTGTTGGTCGGCTTTTCCATGCACACGTTCGGCGTCTCAAACTAGGGAGAGAAGGGCTTGTTGATGTTTGTTGGTGTGGACATTCTGAGATGCTTGGTGAGTGTTGGGGGCATATGCTTCAAGTTGTTGGATGGCTTACTGTACATACTTCGCGTAGTTTAAGTGTTGGAGCTTGTGAAGTTCTTTGTCCTTTGGCTGCTGCTTCCAGCCAAGGAGAGGATTGTATCATGGAATGTAGGGAGATCCTAAACTTCTTTTGGGAACTCTTGCATAGTTGCTTTGACTATGGAGGCAACCAAAATAAGGGGAGCATTCTTTTTGAATGGGACTATAATATATAAACATATATCATATAACTGCGGCATTATTGTTTTATGGTGAAGGAACAGGAACCATACTGACTTACTCTAATTTAGGAGTGTGAAATGGACGTCCATTTGCAACCCGAAATAGCGGCCGCAGTTCCCAACACATGGGCGTGGCCCAAAATCAACAATGCAGCTGCAGTTCCTGGAACTGCTAGGCGGTGATGTGCGACCTGGAGAAGAACCGACAGATTCGTGAGCTTTTGCAGCCAAAGAGCAGTGTTTTTTCACCGTCTGAGCGCACAGTCGCTGATCCAGCGGCCGCCCAGGTCGCCCAAAGATCCGACTTCAAGGCTAGATCATGGGTGTCCCCCTCACACCCCAATTGGCCTATCGTATTCATCCGTTTTTTTGGCTCGACACTGCCACCGCTCTTCGGGGCGCTCGCCTCAGGTCGTGACGAAGCACACGCACTCCCACACCACGTCCCACACCCACTCGCACACGTTGCTTGGCCAAGCGCACACGTTGCGGGTCTCGAAGGGTTTTTACAAATAGGCCTCTTCTCGACGGCCTCTTCACTACTAGTCTTCGCATACGAAGCAAGCAGTACTGTAGGCTTGGGAACCAGTGAGAACAAAACGTGTAAAATGCGCATGACGATCTCCGACTTCTCCCTGGGCTTTTGCTCCCAAAGCGCATGGACCTTCGACTCGGCGCAACGGACGGACTGAGGCACTCGCACACCCACACCACCACCACAAAGTTCCCGAAGTCGCCACCTGGCAGCCATGGGCCGCCATGTGGGCTGTGTGTGCTTGCTTGGGTGAATCAAGCAACGGCTCGATGTGGATGTGGAACCATCGACCCTTTCAGCAGGTCCAGATCTTCGGCCTGGCCTTGGGCGGGTCTTGGGTCGAGGAGGTGGTCTGTCGGATCCACTCACGTGAACCAAAACCCAAACACCAACACCACGCCTTCTTTGCTGGACAGTGTTTTTTTTTTCCATGTTTGTTCCCCTTTTCGAACTGCTGGACTTGTTTCTTTTTGAAGTGAAGTCATGTGATTTCAATATATTTCAATCATCATTTGGGACAGAGGTCGCCCTCGCCCTCGTTGCTTGTTGAGTACCTCAAGAGGTCGCGTCGGTCAAGTTCTGATGTTGAAGGGTCAAGGTACAGGCTTTCAATATACAGGAAAGGTGTCTTGTCTCGGGGGCGCCGCCTGCCATCTAAGGGGCCTCCCTGACCCTGCGGGGTCTCCTTAACTAACAAAGCCTAGGGCAGGGCTTTTAATGTTTCGGAAAGGATGCCATCAACATGTCTTGGCGTCTTGGCTGGGTACGATCTTTTGGGGTTGGGGATGGACAAACTGCATGTGCGGAACGTGGTTACCAACCAAAGATCTCATGTTTCCTTGTGGAATGATGCCTTTTGAACAGCTTTGAGATGTTTTTACTTTTGACTATTCAAGGTTATCCAAGGTTATCTATGTTTAAGAGCACACGGTTTGGCTTTGGTTAAGCCTTACTCATTTTGCAGTGGCAGCACCATTGAGGCAGTCCAAGCGTCTTGGGAATGGAGATGGCACCGCTTGCATCGAAGATGACGAGACGGTCCAGATTGAGGCCGTTGGTTTTTTGGGGCATGGCTACGGGAATGCGGTGGCTGTTCAAAAGACGTTCATGCAGTACACTGACTTAAAATGTAAGCCAACCTATCACCCGGATGGACTTGTTCCGATGACCTTTGTGCAGGTTTGTTTCCCATCAGTCCCAGCAGTGTCCATGACCTTTGAACAATACTTTTTGTATCGACGCAATATTCGGAAGGCCCAAAATTCAGAATTGAAATAGTCTAGTGTGAATTTGCTCAAATATCTTGTGGCAGGTGCAGTTGTTTTTCCATTTATATAATTTTAATGTGCCTCGATGCTTTTGTGCCACTGTCTCGTATTATCTCGTATTCCAAGCTGCGCGCACATTCGGTTTCACGTAGCTAAGTGGTCATGTCATGTAGATCCTTTTGTATAGCGGTGATGTACCCCAAATCCCTGGTACCCGGCAAAGCTGAAGGGCCTAGGGATGCGCTCGGATGGATTAATTACGCAAGTATCGTTGGTAGGTCAACTGAGGTATCCTGTTTATTTTTATTTAACCAACCGCCAATTTAGTTGGTGTGTGTTTGAATGTTTGCATACCCGCACTATTGGGATTGGTTACTCCCAAGTCTGAGTATATAGATTTGAATAGCATCAACTATTCCTCGCGTGAGAAATGGTTGCTTGCGCCAAAAGAACAACAACAACCACAACGACAACGACAACGACGACAACAACAACAACAACAACAACAACACTCTCTC